TGTCTTAGCTCTAAGTCCTCCACCGCCCAATGGGGGACTTTAGTATTTATTTTAATGCCGTACCAATAGGCATTAACCTTAGGTAAGCTTGTGCTTACTTTGGACTGTACCCTCCTCATCCTCTGGGGGAGGTAGAGGGGGGGGGGGCGCATGGCCTCTATATTTCAGGGGGGGTTCGGGTACTGGTTAGGGGTCGGGTCTATGTGCACTGTATCCTTGAATTGTCCCCTCACTATAGCTACTGTGGATCAGTATACAGCTATCCTTACTCAACGCGTCTATGTGTCCGGCAATCTCCGATACCGATCAACCTGTGAGCTTTCCGTATACAGCTTTCGTCACTCAATGCGTCTATGTGTTCGGCAGTCGCAGGCGGGGGGGGGGGTATTGATCTCTACCTTAGCGCTGTCGAGGGCAAAACATCCATGTCGTACACCCCTAGCAGCACGATCGGCAGGCCGGTGTAGAGCAGGGCCCACAGCATCGAGTTCACCCAGTCGTAGAAGAACTGTCCGCTTAGCCCTGGACGACAGGAGGAGGGAGGGTTGGGGGGTGATTTGCGGTGTACGGTATTGGCTGGCCAGCATTGACCGCGCTACCGACTGACCAATGAAAGCGCGTCGATGTATGGGGAGGGGAGTGATTGGTTCTCAATAACGTTGAGCACATACTGATCTAAGACGCGCAGATGTCGACAAGAGTAACCGTGAGAAATGAAGGGGTGTTTGTGTGCTGCAAAAAGTACTCGTGTGTGGTACGGGACAATGCTTGGGCAACGTGCTGGTGACGATGCCAAAATAAGCAAGAGACATGAAAAACATCATCTCGGGCTCATGGCGAATATTTCAAGAATTCAACGAATAAGATCGTCGCCTGCTATTTTTACTACATTTGGCAGAACAAGATCGTTGACTTGTGCCAAATGATTCTTGGTAGCTTCGATGACTGTTCTTCACGCGTGGACGGTTGTCGGTGGAAATTCGAAAACACAAGCAAAAACGGAAAAAAATAAATATATATATATACTTGTATACGAGTGTAAGAAACATACCGTTAAAGAAGGCGTAAACAAAGAGAGGGACGGCCCAGCTGACCGACTTGTAGAAGAGGTAGCTGGTTGCGAAACTCATCCTTCGGTAGTTGAACCTGACAGAGCAGAAGCAAAACGAAGAGAAAAGGGCGTGGAAGGTTGACACAAAAAAAATAAAACAAGAGAAAATCAGATCAGGGCGAAAGACGACAAAAACTCAACATGGAAGTACTCATATTGTAGTGCGTGTGTCCAATTCTCTTTCTGTAATTGTGCGGAGTAGAAACAATATTATCACTTGCTTGAACAACAGACTCGAGAAGGGTTCGAGGTCAACGATAGCCGGGTGCACTGCTGCTCTTCATTCTTTGCCTCTAGAGCTAGCTCTCTGTTGCGCAAACCACCCCACCTCGAACCGTCGCTCGCACCACACGCCCGACATAACCCGAGACTAGATGCCTGGAGGCAGGAGGGATTTGCTCTCAAAAACCATCACGAGAGGTTACACCCAATAGCAACCACACCTGCACCAGCAGCATCAACAGCATCAACAGCAACGAGAGACAGCAGCAGCAACAACGACGACGACAGAACCAACAGCTACAGCAGAAGCAGCAACAGCGACATACATCAACATACCTTCCATGGCAGAGAAGAAGCTTCTGCAGGAACCGGAACTGCGCGAGGGAGTAGTCGCTCGCGTTAACCGCTTGCAGCCCCTCCTGTCCGCTGATGCCTGCACCACCAAGCACACAAGGCAAAGCGATGGTATACATTAGAAATCACGTGCCAAAAACCACAGTAACACAAACGCATGTATGCTGATGCCTGCGCGACCAAGCACGTAAGACAAAAGTGATGGTGCACATTAGGAACCACTCGGCAAAAAGCCACATAAAAATAGACGCATGTTGCCCTGCCCAAAACCAAAAACATGTCAAGCTCGCCCCTAAACCTTACGACAATCCACTGTGATCAAGTTGTATTGTTGATTTTCAGTAATGATTGTACGTCACCCGCAGTGTATTACTCCCGTTTTCCCCACACACAGCAGGTTTCGGTCACCCGCGTCACCGACGCCGGCCCTAACGTTCTCTACGCTCCCGGCCTTCTCTCGGCAGTACCCTTAGCGGGCTTTTTCGAATAACTTAACACATTGAACAAAGCATGCAATCGGGGAAGTTGGGTTAGGGATAGGGAAAGGGTCTGCGTACTACCCCCTGCCTGTTCTATGTCCTCAAAACTTAAGTTCCTGCTACGGCGGTCTTTTCTCGCCCCAAGGCTACATACGAAGAAAGGATAATGGCATACAGGAACGCGCCACCCCTTATATTGACCAAGCCGAGGCTCGTTTCTTGTTTAGTCTATGGGGTAGACTACCCTCACGGCGTATATATAGTTTTTAGTGTGACCATATAGTTTTTAAGTGTGACTATTGTATAGGTTTTAGTGCGACTATATAAGCTTTAGTGTGACTATATATCTTAGGGTAGGCTTCTTTTACTGAGCATCTGCTCTTATGGTCAAGTCCTTAGGCTTTGGATTTTTTAGGCTCAAGTGCTAAAATTGAGCTGCTCTGCCCTGCCAAGTTCTCAAGTGGTGGCGCATCCTGGAGAGGTGTTGGAGGACCCGGATTCCGGCGATTCCGCGCACAGCGAGACGGCCCAAGCGACCACGAAGCCTACGATGATGGCCAACAGAGGTCGAGAAAAAGAGTTCGCAGCTCTTCGTCGCGAAGTCTATTGGTCGTCAATGCTGGTTTCGTGGTCGCCTGTGTCGTCTAGCTGCTGCGCAGAAACGCCGGAATCCGAGTCCAACACCTCTGACGCAATTCTCCTTTTTCGAAAACAGCCTTGAGGCCGGGTACGCCAAGACTAGGAAAGGGCGCCTTCCTGACGTAAGCAACACAAGATAACACACCCCCTGGATCGAGTTTCAAAGCTACATTAACTCCACGACGAAGATGTATGACGTTTTCGGAAACCTCTCGACGAAACGGTTCCGACCCCGCCATTCTCGGCATTGCCACTCTTGCTGCTGTGGAGTGAGTGATCGAGCTTTGAAAATATGAAAAAATGTCCAAGGGGTGTGGTATCTTGTGTCACGTACGGTATTCACGGAAGTATTCCGTGTCGTTCGTGTAGACATAAGCGTCGTCGATGCCACCTCCTTCGCTACCCACGAACTCTACATTGTTTCGTGTTCGAATGAAATGTAGTAGAAATCGCACTTGAAAACATGATTCCAAAATAAGACAAAATGTGCCGCCGAAAAAACGCAGAGATTGAGTTGTTCCTCATGTCTATCCCGCACGACACTGCTGTTGGTCAGTCGGTAAGCGCGATCTATGTTACTTCCTACCAAATACTACATGAGCCACGCCAAAATGTTTTGAGCGTGTGATTCTCTTGACGTAGGATAAGCGAATGAGGCTGGAGCAGAACGAGAAAATGTCCAGCCTGCAAAATTCGCCACTGCGACAACGCCACTAACACTTTCGCCCTGAGAATCAAAGCTTTGCCTGCGTGTCCTCCCGTTTCCTACTGTCTCGCCGTTCCATGGCGCTATCCTTTTTGAGGGCTACAGTCGTGGCTCCGATATAAGAGGGATGGTGTGGTGTGACGAAGGCCCTCGACCCTCTTATATCGGAGCCCCCTCTTATACCGGAATAAGAGGGTCCCCAGCTATGCTATACCGGGTCGAGTTCGTGACAACACATTTCGAGCCTCCTTTACGGGAGCCCCCTCATGTAACGGATCCTCTTAAATCGGAGCCACGGCTGTGTGTCTTTCTTACTGTAACGTGTCTGTACGATTACTGCCCGTACGATTACTGCCTGTTCAAGTACTGCCTGTACAAGAACTGCCTGTACAAGAACTGCCAGTACAAGTAATTCCTGCAGAAGTACTGCCTGTACAAGTACTGCCTGTACAAGTAGTGCCCGTGCGACAAACCCTCGTACCCTCGTACAGGCAGTGTACTCGAATACGCACGTTTACATGACATAGTCTACAAGGATAGCGCCGTGTGGCGGGTAGACGAAGGTAGGGGAGAATACACAGACAGAGCTTTTGATTGAACATGCTTGCTGCTTCGGTGGGCAGAACCATGTACAGAGACCAGAGGTTGACCCCCCCCCCCTCCAAAAAAGAAAAAAGAAAAATACTGCCCGGCTGTGACTGACGGCTACACTACATAATGGAACTCTTGCCGACTCCGTGGAAACGCAAAAAGAATCCAGTTCGATGAGACAACGACAAGGGTTGAGCTCGAACCGACTCCGTGGGAAGCACAAAGATTGTTGTTCGTCGCCAAAACAAAGAGGATTGAAGTCTTACCGACTCCGTAGATGCACGAAAGATTGCTGTTCGTCACGAAGGCGACAAGGATTGAATGAACTCTCACCGACTCCGACATGTGCCGCCTGGATCATGGGGACGTCGTTGGCCCCATCGCCGACAGCAAGCGTCCGGGCGTCCGGGTTGTTGTCCTTGATGAGGTGCACCAGCTGCCGCTTCTGGTCCGGAGACATGCGGCAGCCGACAAACGCCTGACACACGCCCGCGAACTTGGAAAACAGAAGTTGGGTTGTAGGTGGGACACGAGGGAAGCGCGGAGAGGCAAGACCAGGAGGGAGAGAGAGGGGGAGGAGTACTCAGAATCAGGCATGGCCGTATTGTCGAGGCAACGGATGGATGCCTCCCAAAACAGTCACTTGTCGGCACAAGTTCAGTTTCACGGGGAGGGGGGCATATCGGTGGGCAGCGGGAGGGGGAGGGGCACACGTTGAATGATAGCATCCGGGTGGCGCACACCAGCAGCTTTGTGCCCGCACCCAACGCAAAAGGGGGAGGGGGGGGGCAGGAGGAAGTAAAATGGGGCCTATTCGTTTGTGGATGGACTACGTCTTCATGACCGCTGTGACCGTTGACCGCTACACGAATCTCCATTTGAGATAAATCACGACAATGCCCCGCTTCAGGCGATTCACAAGCATCTCCCGTGAGACGGGCGGGAGAACGCCGTTGGTAACCCTTGCGGAGCAACGTCGAACGTAAGTAGTGCATTTTCGAGACCTTCTCATTTCGCTCTGATCCTCGTAACGCTGACGCTGCCTCAGGTATTGTTGCAGGCAATACCAACGAATTATCCCGCCAAAATACCCACTGACAGGAGGGGATCCCGAACAACGGCTAGCGGTGACGTACACCAGAGGGACCATGATCACAACTGATTGCACCCATGATAATCAACAAAATAATGGGGGATTGGCTATCTATACTCGGACGGCCTCTTGTGCTGTTCCACGCGGAACATCATGGGGAGTTAGTAGGCTAACTCCAACTCGGACAGCGGCCTGTCGTGCCTGCTCCACGCGGGACCTTTTCCCCACCTGCAGCAACGCTTCCTTGGCGGTCAGAGCGTCCCCCGCATCTAGGATAACCTCCACGACCTGCTCCTTCTCGCACCCTCCCTGGCCCCCCGCTTCCTCATCCACGTCCCCCCCGATAACGACGCCGCCGCCATACTCTCCCGCGGGGCTTGCCGACAGCCCCCAGGTCACACCCCCTTCATTCTCTTGTTTCTCGTCACCCCCGTGAAAACCAGTGCCACCGGGGCGCGATGGAACACCCACCGCTGCTGTCCGACCCGGGTTTCCGTTGACCAGTAACGAGGAGCCCCCTCCGGGGGATAATCGGGCAGGGCTGCCGACGACGTCGCTGCCGCCGCTGCTGAAGGACGCCACGACTGTTCAAGGCCGCAAGGTCGGGGGAGGGGGGGGGGGNAGGTGGGACAGGCACTGAACGATTCAGTATTTCCCCACGGCCGTTTCAGGGTCTCTCTCGGGGTTGAGTCTCGGGGTTGAAGGCAGCGGTTTGGTCCGGAGATGAGGTAGGGACGCGCAGCGAACAATTCAGTCTTTCCCGCTGCCGTCTGAGGAAGCGTCTCGGGGACAAACGTGGGTGAATGGTCTGGAGGAAAGGTAGGGGTCGCACACCGAACAATTTAGTCTTTCCCGCTGCCGTTTTAGGGTCTCGGAGACATCTGTAGCGATTTGATATGGAGAAGAGATGGGGGCGCGCGCATTTCGTCCGCCCCCGCTGCCGCGTAACAGGCTTCGGATCAGAGTTAAGGGGTTGGACCAGAATCAGGTGTGGTGGGGAAAAAACACCTTGCAATTCTGTGCTGCCGCTTAGGGTTCGGTGTTTTAGGATTCGCCAGAAGGACGTGAAGCACGCGGAGGTTGTGTGGCGGGGTAAGGCAGCCATGGCACGGACCAAGCACCACCACCAGAGCACATCAAGAGCGACACACGAGATTGCAACAGAAACGTGTAAAGGGTCTGTGAACACGGCAGCGTCTGCGTCAGCTGGGCGGGTGCGGATTTTCGGTTATGAGCGGAGACCGGGAAGGTTTATTAATGTCAACACAACAACAACAAATGCATAAACAACAACTACACAAGGGGAAACCTCTTGGGTGATTTAGAATAATCATCAGCGAACGCAACGTATGCCAGTGGTGATTATTCTACAAGTTGAAACAGAGCACATCGGCAATCTTGCCGACTTAACCGACGTGCTGCGTGTGTGTTTGCATAGATCGCGCTTACATTAAGCAGCGATCTACACGACTCTAGCGCCATTCATCCAAATCGAAGCATTTCGTTTCGCTTGGCTTGGCTAGACCCGAACCAGTCGAGTCAATCCTTCTCCAACGCCCCTCGCCCGCTCCACACCCAATGCTGCTCACAAGAACCTACTGTACAAGTACCCCGCAATTCTTCAGAAGAAATTCGTGATGTTCGTGGAAATCCTTTTGGTGAAAGGCACAATTTCGTGTGTCGAGGACGATTCCCTCTTTCCACATTTTTTTTTCGTTTCCATCACTCTACATCAGAGCCTGTAGCATTTCTGGCGGGTAGGCGCTAGCTCCAACCCGTGGTCACGCAGAAAGGTTCCTCTCCCAACCCCCTCTGCGGTATGCGCATCCTAATAATCAAACGCCCATCCGGTAGAGCAGTTACTCCCACTCGAGGCGATGCTATCGTTGCTACCGCGGGCCCTATCAACCTAATCCTATCCCTCGCAAAACACACCTGCTCCTTCCATGGCGCCTTCTTCTGTTGCTGCTGCGGCTGACGCGCGTCCTCCGGAAGACAACGGTTCGGAGCCTGTCGCAGTCAGATCGAAGTTGAGCTCTTTGCTAGAGCGGGGAGGAAGCACCGAGGCCGCTGTCTGGCGGTCTTTTCTCCAACGCTCGTTGTACGTCGTAGCCTTGAGCCTGGTGTGCACATGTGAGGAGGGGGGGTGTACTCATAGTCGTGCATGCCGTAGTCGTTAGACCATTGACCTCGCATCCCTACAAAGCCGGGACGGAG